TTTTTTACAAAACTTGCACTCTACCCTATTCTTGTCAAGGGGATTTGGACAAGATCCACACTTCCAACCTGGATTACTTGGCCTACTTGATCCACTAGAAGTCATTATCCTTAATGAATTATTGAGTGTCAATGTGAATAAGAATCACCTAATCAACAAACCTGTAAAATACACAAGATTAAATAATGAACTATTAATAAAAGGGTGTGGTTCCCATAAGGTTGCAGCCTTAAACAATCCAATTAAGGCAAACCTTTAAGTTTTATCATAACATATAATTTTGATGTAAAATATTCTTAGGATTATCTCAAAATCTATTTTCATATCTAATTATAAAATTTTAAACTCCGAGAATAGTTAAAATCAAGTAAATCTATAAACATATGAAAATCTTGAAAATGGACGATCTAGATAATGTGTTGTAAGATGCACTATTTATGGGACTCAAAATCTTTTTTTTTTCATAACATACATCTCGATGTCGAGATGATGAATTAGAGGGTTTTTCAACATTAAAACAACCTTATGTAAAATACACAAGATTAAATAATGAACTATTAATAAAAAAACTCTATTTAAGTTTTAAATGAAGATATAAAAAAAATAAGAAACTCGATATGAGTTTTAAATGAAGATATAAGATATTAGTTTTGCTGACAACCTAGTCCCGAGAAACAATGAGTATATGATGTCATTCTGAAAAAAAACATTCATATATAACTTTACATAAGAATTAAGATATAATCATATAACATAATTATTAATTTATCCAGTAAAGTAAAACAAAAACAATAGAATATCAAAGCATGATACACTGTATAAAAAGGGAATCAACTATTCTTAAAAGAATATGATATATGCCCAATTTCATCGTCCAAATGAGGAAAAATTCAATTAATCACAAAAAATTCAATCTTTCACTTACAAACATGTAAATATATCATTAAAACAACGTAAAATAGAAAAAAATGATTCACAACATAATACTTTATAGCAAAAAAATCGAAATCCTTATTTAAATATGATAAGGCTTTAAAAATATCAAAATCAAATCAATGTTGACGCAAACCTTGTCCATTGGGTCGCCAAAAGTCCTCCAAATCGATTACTAGCCAAAAACTCCCACAAACTATTGCCGTTATTTTGGGAAAAAATCGAAAGTTCATCGATCTTTCAATAAATCCCATATTCGAGGTTTTTAGGGAGTTTTTCTCTCTCTAGACGACACAGATTTGGTTTTAGAGGTTTAGAACACCCCCCAAAACCGTTTCCCCCCTGCTATTTAGGGCTGAAAATGACTAATTTTGACCGTAGTGGAGGACATTTTTTCACCCTCAGCAGCCTGTGTTGAGGCAGTGCCTAGGTGGCAGCCTTGACTGAAGTGCTTAGGTGGCACAGTACTCGCTTAGGCGGGTGCCTAGAAGCTAGCCCCTTAGGTGCCCTGCCATATGCTCCACCTAGGCATTTTTCCCTTTTGGTCGCCTAGGCGGCTGAGCGGCCGAATTTTCTAACATTGGCAGTAGCCAAGACATACTTGCAATGAGATGATCTGGTTAAGATTTACCAGTTGCACTACAAAATAGCAAATTGCAACAAGGAGAGATGACTGTGGAAGTGTATTTTGGGACAGTAAGGCATAAGTATGAAGAATTGGACCACTATCAGCCTATTAATCCCACCATTCAACAATCTCTAAGTTCGTAGGATGCCTAAATCCTGACTTTGAACTTCAGAGTACAGGTTCTAGCCTTCTAGGGAAGGACAAATTGCCCTCTCTTGAATCAGTCTATAATTATGTGAGGGAGAGAGTTGAAATACAGCAAACTAATATATAAGAGTTGAGAGAGATTAAGATATAGAGATAGAAAAAGTTAGAGAGAGATCGGTGAGACCATGAGAGAGAGAGTCACATGAAGAAGGGTCATGGTTCAGTCCTCTAGACCCACCTGCCAACTTATGATCTTTATACTAATAATAAAAGGTCTAAAGTACAAAAGTACCCTTAAGTAAGGTGAAAAAACAAATAAGTCCTTAAGGACTTAAATACTAAAAGAAATAAATGTAAACTAGAGGTATTAACAACACTCCCCCTCAACCTAGCCCATAGATATTTGTCATGCCCAGCTTGCTTATAATCGTTTGTAGTCAAGGTTTACCAGCAACTTTGATAATAATTTCTGCTACCTGGTCTTCTATTTTAGCATAAAGAGGACAAATTTTTCTTGAATAAAATGCCGATCTACTTTTATGTGATTACTTTTATCATGTTGAACTCGATTATGAGCTATATTGATTACTGCCTTATTATCATAATACAAGGACATTGAGCCTTTCATAGAACAACCAAGTTCTTGTAAAAGGATTTTTAGCCAGAGTAATTCACACGCTCCATGACCCATGGATCTGTACTGACCTTCTGCACTTGTTCTTGCTACAACCGGCTACTTTTTATTCTTCCTCCAACAAAGGTACAATACCCTCACGTTGATCTTCAATCTATAATGGAACCAGCCCAGTCTGCATCTGTGTAGCCTCATCTCATAAGTGCCCATTATTAGCAAACAATGGTCCTCTCCCCAACAATGTTGTTAGGTACCTCAGAACCCTGACAGCAGCCTTCAGGATGATATTTTGGAGAGAATGCATAAACTAACTACACTGTTGAAAATTTTGACCTCTTGGCTGCCTGGGTGGCCAAGCTTTACAAACGCCTAGGCATGCCTCTAGGCAGAGCTTCCCCTAGGTGCCCGCCTGGGCAGGCGCCTTGGCCAAGGCTCACATTTTCGCCCTCTCCTTTGAGTCCCTTCTTTCCTTAACATTTATTAATTTTTTTTTTATATTATATAATATTGTATATGGTGATAGTACCATTGTACAAATGCATTTACAGAATTATTGATACATGGATCAATGTCATTATATTACTAATACATGTGTCAACGATGTTTCTTAAAAAATAATATATTATTGATACTATAGTACAAATATATTAATCAACTACCAATATTAACATACAAAGTTATTAATATAATATTATATAGTACTATTAACTACAGTATAAACGTATTAAGATATTAATATTTATTGATATGTGTATCAGTCAAATATATTAATCAACTACCAATATTAACATACAAAGTTATTAATATAATACTATATAGTACTATTAACTACAGTATAAATGTATTAAGATATTAATATTTATTGATATGTGTATCAGTCAATGTCAATATATTATTGTTCAATGGGTTAATGATGTTTCTTTAAAGAATAATATATTATTTAGTACAAATACATTAATATATTGTTAGCATCAAAACCAAAGTACAAAAGTTCCTAATATAAATAATATGCTACAATTAACTACAACACAAATGTATTAAAATATTGATATATTGACAATATACATGGCAATTTAAAACAAGTAATACAATGCTCTCTCTCTCTCTCTTCATTTCTACATGGCTTGTCCCTTTCGCTCTCTTCCTTTGAGAGTTCTTCTGTTAGACCTGGACACTTCTATTCCAAGAAAGAATGTCAATTGACCTTGATCTTTGATTCAAATTCTCTCGCCAAAAAACTCTAAGTTGCCGAGTGTCCTTAGGGCAATTGCCTAATACAACAATGTCATCCATATTTACAATTACGACAGTGCTGCTGGTCTTGGTGTGTTTGATAAATAAGGTGTGGCCAACATGATTTCGAGTATACCAGATTCTTTGAGCAACACCACTGAACCTCTCAACCAAGCTCGTGTGGACTGCTTTAGTCCAGAGATGGCCTTTCTCAGTCTACAATTTCCCTTCACATCCAGGAGTTTGAAATCCATATTGAGGTACTATGTACACTTCTTCCTGTAATTGCATTTTTGGCATCCAATTAATGCAACAGCCACTCCCAGTTAGCTATCAGAGACAGAACCACCTGAATGGAATTCGTCTTAGCCCCATGGACCATTGTTTCCTGATGGTCTATTCCATAAGTCCAAGTAAACCCCTTGGCAACTAATCTCGCCTTGTATCTGTCGACAATACCATTAGCCTTGTGCTTCACAGTGTAGACCCATTTGCAGCCAACGAATCTACTAGTTCCCAAGTACTATTCTTAAGTACAATGCCCCTGTCTTTTCTCACATAGTCTCCTTCCACTTAGGATGAGCTCATGTTCTCTAACATAGGTGGGAATAGAAACAAAAGACAGAGATAGACACAAATGCATAGTAGGAATGAGACAAGGACTCGTAAGAAATAAAATTGCTAGTTAGATGAGCAGATGCGAGCACATTTACCTTGTACTACAGAAACAGGCAGATCCAAATGATCAGAATGAGAACAAATGGAATTTGAATTAGATTTACCTGGATTAGAGGTATGTACTTGCTTGGAGGCATGTCAGCTGTGGTAGTCCATTGCAAGCACATTTACCTTGTAGTACAGAAACAGGCAGATCCAAATGATCAGAGTGAGAACAAATGGAATTTGAATTAGATTCACCTGGATTTGATGTATGTACTTGCTTGGAGGCATGTCAGCTGTGGTAGTTTCCATTCCTTTTTTTCCGACTAGTATAAACTTTTAATTCCTTTTTTCCAACTTCAACATTATACGATTGCCCACCACTGTTCTCTAGAGCTCCAGAATAAGAAAATTGGGAATAGGAAGGGTAACTTGAGTTCTCTTTTCCATGCTGTGCTCCTCGTGTAGAGAGGTTGGGAAAAGAGTCGTGGACTTAGAGAAGGTTGCATTTCTCAAAACAAATTTCTTCCCTGATAGATATATGACACATTACCCCATGATTTAAACAATGAGATATACATCCATTTTTTACCCAACCATTGTGCTTGAATATTCTTTTCCTCTCTTCTTCCTCAAACTTAACATGAACTACTTAGGCAAGTGGGTATTTCTGAAGCACAACATTTAAATCTTTTTTTCAATTTCTTGCTAATTTCCTGTTAATTCTAAAAGTTGATGGATACATGTTCTTATCGTCCATGGCAGGAAGCCAATGCAGAGAACAGGTAAAGACTTCAACATTATGAAGGTGCTTCCATCAGGTGTATACCATTACAGGTTTATTGTTGACGGACAGCGGAGATATGTTCCTGATCTGCCATGGGCATATGATGACAAGGGTGTGGCCCACAACATTTTAGACCTGCAGGTTTGCTTCTCTGGTTTTCCATTACCTATTTGCTGAATAATGTCAAGGTCCTCTATTTCAGTTGCTTCAGTTTCTACAGTACATTCTTTCTATATGTGCCTCACATGCAATGCATGCATATTTTCCACACTATTAATTATCTAATGACGTTTAGCAAGGAGAGGGTCTTTACACTCAGTTCAAAAGGAGATTGACACTCAGTTCCAAAGGAGGAGTTGTTTAGGCTAAGGAAGTTAACAAGGGTTAATTGGATTGATAGACTTCAATATTTTTCAAAAGATGGGGAATCTGGATTGGTAGAAATCTATGCTTTTGGAAAAGGGGATTGGGCACTATGTTCGAGGTGTATGGAAGTACGGAACTGGGGATTGAGCACTATGTTGGGGGTATGTGGGATGGATTGGTGTTTGCAAGGAAGGTTCTTTTTTTTTTCCTTCTTCTTTTTGGCTAGATGTAAAGTTGGAGATTAGCTAGGTTTTATGTTAGCATTCATTTTTTAAGTCTTGGTTCATTGTGGTGCTGGGTATATGAGATATGGGAGTTGAAGGAAGGAATATGAGGGTTTCCTTTTTATTATTATTTTTTTGTTTTTAAGAGAGTTTGTTGGTGATCCCTTTGGATAGCGGGATAAGGAAACATGTTGAAGAGCTATGAGTTTGATGCAGATTCCTTTGTATAGGGGGTATAAGGAAACAATTTGTATTGTTGGATGGGAGGGGAGTGGTGTGGCTCCAATAGGCAATAAGAAGAGAGAACATAGACTTAGTTGGGCTGGGCATGTGCAGCACAGACCCGGTACAACACTTATTAGGAGGTGTGAATTGGTTCAAGTAGAAGCTCATAACGGGTAAGGGGTAGGCCTAAAAGGACATGGTTGGGAGCAGTGTTCGCAAAATCGAACTAGAACGGTTAACTGGACATGGGGCCAGAAGCTGTTTAACCGGCCTAACTAGCAAACCAGCCGATTCAACCGTTCTAATCGGGCAAGTCCCGGGCGGCCAAAAAATTGTTGAAAAAAAAAAAAAAGGTGCAAAAATAAAAAATTTACTAAAATATGAAAAGCATATAAAGAATGATTAAAACAAAAAACATTCAAATAAAGTTGAAAATTAATGAAAAAATGGATTTTAAAAGTGAGTATGAATGACCAAAACAATTTTTAATATTTACCATAATGTAAAAATATTAAAAAATGTATTACAAATCAAATTCCTTATTTTTGGGATTTTATAGACATTTTTTTGAATTTTTATTTTTAAAATGCCGGCCGATCATCAAAACTGCTCGAAACCGAAACCGGCAAGGGGTTGGTTCCGATCTAACCGGGCGGTTACCTGTTAGATCGAGCGGTTTTTCAAACAATGGTTGGAAGTTGTGAGAAAAGATATGAGGACTTATGAATTCATTGAGGGTATGGCTCTTGATAGAGCAGAATGACGGATCAGGATTTGTGTAGCCAATCCCAAATAGTTGGGACAAGCCTTTGATGATGATGATGATGTGGGAGGGAATGGCATGTAGGTGTCAAAATAAGGTTGAAAGGTGCTGAATGTGTTCTTTTATTAAGTTTTATATAGGTACCAAATGATCCCTAAGAGAGAGGGCCTGAGTTTAATAGTATATTTCTAGGAAAGTGGTCAGAGAAATCTGGATATTTGTGCCATGATGGTTGTTTTTCTGAAGGGTCAATTATTAAGGGCTACTGATGAGGGCATAATCATTACTCGTGGAAATTTGGAGGTTGTTTGGCTGGTAGTATAGGGGAATAATTTTAGAAGGGTAGATGACTCTTGTAGGAGACAAAAAAGGGGGCTGGAGACTATTGATAATCCAATAATCACCCAAAATAATAATAATAATAGAATGGAGACACTACTTCTAAGAGGGCTCTTATAGTAGTGGCACTTTGTTATCTATGTTGGATGGCTAGGTAGCTGTCGCTATTGGGGATGGTTTGGAGGGTAATAGTGGCTATTTTTGTTGTGGGATTTGTGTTTATGATATGCTAGATGCAAGGGTGGTAGGTCTAATAAGTTTGCAAGTAAAAGTTTGGTTGAGTTGGATTCAAGATTCCTTTGCTAATCGGTGCACTTCCCGAGGATAGGAAGAAGTATTCTCGAATAGCTTGAAGGTAAGAATTGTAAATTCTAAACAACTAAAGGTTGATGGCAATTGTTGTGGAGAATAACGCGTCCCACTTTGTATATAGATTGGGAACCATTGCCTAGATGCTTGTTTCAAACCATACAATCCCTTTTTCAACTTGCAAACCAAGTTAGGATTGGTTTTGTTCTCAAAACCTTCAGGTTGACACATATAAATTTCTTCATCAAGATCACCTTGCAAGAAGGTTGTTTTAATATCAAGTTGTTCTAGCTCCAAATTCAAGTTAGCAACCAAAGATTAAAGAACTCTAATATAGCTATGCTTAACAACAGGAGCAAAAATTTCATTAAAATCAACACCTGGTTTTTGCCTATAACCTTTCACCACAAGTGTGGCCTTATATCGCATAAGACCATTTGCATCCCATTTAATAGCATATACCCACCTATTCTTCAATGCTTTCTTCCCATGTGGGAGTTCCAGCAACTCCCACGTATCATTCTTATGCAAAGCATCAATCTCCTCCTCCATTGCCTTATGCCACTTTTCCGCATTAGGGCAATAAATAGCCTCCTGATACTAGAAGGTCTACCACTGGATACATTTTCAATGTTGGTGGTGGTGCAGTCAGCTAGATGTCAAGGTTGTAGGATATTGTTGCCTTGTCATCAACTGAAGCTGAGTATGTGGCATTGACTGAGGCAGCGAAGGAAATGATTTGGTTGAGAAGGTTACTTGGCCAGTTTGGGGTGAAACAGGATAAATATGTTGTGCATTGTGATAACCAGAGTGCTATTCATCTAGCTAAGAATGCAGCTTATCACTCAAAGACAAAGCATATAGAGGTTAAATATCATTTTATTCGGTTGGATCTCGAGCGTAGAGATTTGCAAGTGGACAAGATTCACACTGAGAAGAACCTTGCTGATATGTTGACAAAGGTTGTCTCAACTTAAAAGAATATGATGTGTAGAAGACTTTCGGAGTTAGAGGAGACGTAACCTCGGGTGGATAGAGAGTGGTGCATTGTTGATTATTTTAGAGACTTTGTGATTTGTCTTCAAGTGGGAGATTGTTACATGTGTGAAAACAAATCACACATGGGAGTTCGTTTTTCACCAATATTCTAGAGGGTCATGTGTATGAACTAGATGAAATCAGTGGAATTATTATTAGCATGTCCTTCACTGCACCCAAATCAAACCAACCATGGCTAGTGCTTGGACAAGCTGCTCAAGAGTCTAAGATGTGTGGGCAAGCTGCTGAGGAGGCTTCACATGTGAGCAAGCTCTGGATAACTATATCGTAGTATAGAGATCCACACATTTGTTGGATAATCTTACTACTGGAGAACTATATCGTAGTATAGAGATCCACACATTTGTTGGATAATCGTACCATGTATTTTTGACTTAGTATTTCATTGAAGGACGGTGGAATAATAATTGGTATTTGTGAGGAAATGCTAATGATATGTGTAACCTTGGATGCTTAATCATTCATGAAGAAAAGTGTGTTTGGGTAATTACAGTATGGCATGGAGCCAAGTCTACAGCAAAGAGACTGATGTGCAAAATACAGAATATGAGATACCATTCGCACGAGAATAGGTATTGATACTAGAATAGATTTCCGATTATAAGGAAGAAAATTAGCTCATCACCGAGGTATGATTTATAACTTAATCTTGACCATCCATCATCGGAAATGGGCAGTGGACTTTCCCTCGGTGTATTATATGTTGTATGTCCTTGGTATAGGTTATTCTTTCTCTTTATTGAATGAATTTTAAGAGGGTACAAAAATAGGTACTCAAACATGCATGTTAATACTGCCTATAATAGCCTGGATGACTAACAATATCATTTCTACAAAAGATGGACAGTACTATCGTTAAAAATAGAATAATGGAAATGCGACCGTCATGGGTAATGTGGGAAAAGGGCATAATGGAGTGGGGTAATTCTCAGCCGACACATCTGTTCAAACACCGTCTCCTTCAAAAATCCAACTTAGAGATGGATTTTGCACCTAAAATTTTACAGGTAGATGATCTTGAAAACGACGATGTTGAAGTTGAAGGGGGAAAAAATGATTTTTAATCTTAAAATTTACTATTTTAAAATTTGTTTTTGGACCTTTCATCACAGTTCACTCTAATTCTTTGCAGAACATCAGATCAGCACAATGTTTTAAGCTGCAAATCATGGATCTGATGCGCAATTGCATCTGGAGTGACTTAGGATATGCTTGAGATCCTAAGTTCATCTGTAAGATAGATTTTGGAAGGGACAGCATTTGAATAGGATCTCATTTAAACTTTTCCCATTATGGCTAACTATTTGACAGGATCTTGCCTACATGGTAGCAAATAAATAGAAAACCGTTGTTCATTAGAAGGAAACGAGAGAGACTAATAGCCTTCTGTGCTTTTATGAAGTTAAGTTGGTTGCTTATTTGTTTAGTGTGGGGGATTAACCTCCCAAAGCTCTAATATCCTATTTTCATAAGTGCCCTTCTTCATTAAGCAATAAATATTGTGTATAAATTAACATAAGCTGTACTGTACATTTCATGCTTTATAATTTTCTTATGTACTGTAATTTGTTGCTTATGTGCATATGTCTATGTACGTTTTAATATTATAGTGCATTTTGTTTGGCATAATTCTTACAATGAGAAATTATTGTGTATGCTATAGGTGAATTAGATTCCTAAGTATAATACGAATAATGAAAGTATCATAACTACTAGGACGAGTACCAACTAATTATTATTATTTTGGAATAAATTTATAAAAACCTGCTGAACTTTAAAAAAGTTCGGAAATCACGTTAGTGATATCTGGAGTAACCCTATGTTTACAAATCAACCCGTTATAGTGAACAGTTGAACATGGAAGATGCAGTTATTATGCAATTTTAATTAAGGGTACATGGTCTTTCTGTAAGGGGGATTATAAGTGAGAGACGTGTTTTGGAAATGGGATAATATAGCATCTATAACCTGTTTGTGGTATATGATACAATGTCAACAAAGAATGGTGGAGATTAACCATAGTTCCTAGGTCAGACACTTGCATCCACCATATACCAGACTCAGGCTGTGAATGGTATGTGCCTCATTTTTTATTTTATTTACATTATGTGATGGTAAGACACGAAGGCACAAAGCATGTAATCAATGAAGAATAGTGATTGGTGGCGTGTGTTTTGAATGTCAATGCAGAAAAAACAATTGAAATAACTACGCGACTGATTCTTTTCTAAGAATAGAAGTAGAAAACAAAAAGGAGAATAAGAAATGAGGAAAGATTCCTACACATGGAAAGAATCATTATTCAAGCATAATTTCCCTTTGTGTCTATTATTTTTGCCCTTCATTATGTACCAATTATAGCACTTTCTGAATGTTTGCTATTTGTTCTTTCAAATTAGCCATGCATGAGTCTAACCAAATTGTAGATTGTTTATTTCAAAGTTATTTTTTTTCAGATTGTATAAGATGCATTCACTACAAAGTATTGCATCACTTGGTATTCAGTTCCAAAATTTTTATTGCAATTGTTAAATTTGAAAATTGATAAGTAAATGGACCATTCATTTCTATCTCGTTCATTCTTCTCTCTCGAGTCAACAACTTGAGTCATTGAGCTATAATCTTACAGATCCCTTATCCTCTATTTTGTAAATGAACATCTTTCCAAAAACTCAACCTTAATTTCTTGAAATAACCTAGGACGATGACTAACTTCTATCTATATTTGAAAGTCTCCATTTCCCCAGCTGCCCTGCATTTTCATTAGGGGCTTATTGAATCCCATAAGACGATTATCTGGCCATTGCCAAGCAAGAACCATGTTAAAAGTAGGACAAACATGTGGGTTCTATCGGAAACATTTGATACAATTTGCATAGAATTAAAGCATGATCAACAAAGGCTGATGTCCAATTGCCATATTTTTTAAAGTACGTCAGTTTCCAAATTTAATTTCGTTTTCCACAACACAATGTGGCACTTTACAGTCACCTGCCATCACCATGTAGCGGCCATGTTCAGAATTAGCATGAGGATTATATCAAACATGTTAAACAAGCCTTTTTGACAGGATAAACTAGTAAGTCATGACATAAATGACTGAATTACCTCCCTGTCTCTGTCCTATTATTAAAACCTGTTGAGTTGTCTCCCCCATTTTCCCGAAGGACCACAATGTCGCTATTTCAGAAATCGACGTTAATTGGAATGAAACAAAAATGGTCATGTTGTTGGTATTTTTGATATCCTATAAAAAAAAGGGTGGCTTTTTTATGAAAAAAAGACAATGTTGAAGGTAGCCTGAGGTAGTTGATTTCATTGATTATATCTCACAAGTCACAATTCATGTATGACATCCTATAAATCTAAAGTATTGACAAAAATGATCACAGTCCTAGCATATTGCTCATTTCTAGGCATATGCTTGGCTGGCCTAATCCCAAAGTTGCTCCATTTGTTCAGGATGACTGTTCTAGCCATATTTTCTCACCTGCCACTGTCTACTTTGTTGGATGAGGAATGAGCCAAGCATGTTGGCTAGATTGAACATCACCTGAATTACATACTATTTTTTAGTAAATCTTGCATTTCCATATCAATCAAACACATTAACATTCTCTTACTATTTCTTGAAACTCTTGTATTTCATTTTCCCTTCTGCATTCCTTTGTAATTACTTCTTGTTCTTGGATCTATGAAAGTTCAGGATTCTGTGCCTGAGGATGTCGAAAGCATTGCTGGCTTTGAGCCTCCTCTATCTCCCGATTCAAGCTACAATAATTTACTTCCAGGCGCTGAAGATTATGCCAAGGAGCCACCAGGGGCACCTCCCCACCTTCACTTAACGCTTCTCAATGTACAGGCACCAATGAACCGACCCCAACATGTGGTGCTCAACCATCTATACGTGCATAAAGGAAAGACCAATCAATCAGTTGTGGCCCTTGGAGTCACCCATAGATTTATCTCCAAGTATGTCACTATGGTACTCTACAAATCCCTCTCAACATAGAAGAGGACAAGTGATAAAGCAATGATAATGGTAGTATGTGAAGGACTAAGTAGGCGTATGACTGTACTCTCTCTTTCCCACTACATACATAAATATTGAAATTTATAGATATTGAAATGGGAGAAGTTGGTCACTTTCTTCCATGATATGGAAAGAAGATATAACTGCTATTGGTACTGTTTATAATGAGCAAAGGAAGTTAGTGTTTCCCCCTTATCTGGAGTAAGAACACGGAGCTGATTTAAGAGTGTATTTAATGGAAACACTGCTGTTTTTTACGAAGTTAGTTTCTTTGTTCTTTTTCCTATTGGGGATTTGACACCAAGTGTCTTAGGGTTGTGAGTTGTGAGACTTAGAAATCTATACCCTTATAGTGCTTCCTTTGAAGTGTGTGGACATTTTGTGGCTGGAGTGGGTTATGGATTTATATGGAGAAAACTCACGAATTTGGTTGTATAGATTTATTTTGGAAATGTGCACTAGCGTGCCGTTTGAAACCCATTATCTACGAATGAGTGGCTCCAACAATAACCTATTATTATTTTTATTTGGTTATTTGATGGATCGAGAGAATGACGTGTTTTAAAAGTTGAACCAAATATATGGGTGTGATGTTAAATAGGTTTTCTCTTAGGCATGATTTAAAAAATGAGCGTAATATACATTTACTCCCTCGGACAAAATACTAAATTGGGAGTTTTTTTTTTTTTTGAAGATTCGGGATCCATTTAATTATAACTAAATGATTATTTGTAAAAAAAAAAACTTTAGATTTTGAGTTCATAAATATCTGAAGAGCAGCGATCTAATGCAACGGATGTATCATAGTAAATTGTTATGATACTTCTACAAAACCATGTTTGTGGTATTTGTATGATCTAAAATTTTACACACACTTTTCATCTAAATAATCAATCCCAAAAAAAATAAAATTTGAATTTGAACCCTAGATATGGTCAAAATGAGTCCCTTCCAACAAAGACTCTAGACCATTCATTTGGAGAATTTCAAGATCTTAGTCTTTACAAATTCAAAATCAAATTTTTTTTTTTTAACATTGTTCATCTAATGATAATAAAGCCATCTAAAAACATTGAAAAACAAAAAACTTCTTAAGGTTTAGATCTAACCATCTTATCAAAATGAACGGCCTATGTTAATTGAGCTAAAAAAATACTTTCTAGATTCTATTTTCCAATTTTTCTTTTTTGTGATTGTTCATTAGAATGAAAAGAGTGTATATTTCAAATTTTGGATCAAATAAAAGTCCCTAACATAGTTTTTGAAGATTGTTGTATTATATTAATATACAACCATTGTACGAAATCATTGTCCATATCTAATCTTGCCTTCCAAAAATTGGAGGGTTTCGGTGCAATCTTTGGATCTTTTATTAAGTACATGGAGAGAGTTAATTTTTTTTTCTGAGGTCATTTGTTGGATTTTGGAGATCACATCCCCAGAATTTGAGATAAAAAAGATTTCTCGAAGGTTTTGCACAGAGTTAATAGTATACTCCAGTGGGAGTATAAACTTTTTGACTTAAAAATTTGCCCTTTTTATTTTGATTATAATTATTATATGTTGTAGCAGGATTAGCAGCAGTGCTTTAAGGCTATAGTGTTTCGTACATGGAAGTTTATGAGGTGCTACACTAGTGAATTGGTAATCATTTAGCTGGTTTTAGTGGAGGTGTGTGCCGTACATTTTATTATCCTTGTCCGAGCAATAAATGGATGGTGATGTGAGACGTAAGGACTCCGTAGAGAACGAAATGAATGATTGGACGGCTAAGATCAGTGTTGTCATATTTGCTTAAGAGTTTTTTACTGTTTGGTGAGAAAAATGAAGTAATTATGTGCTCTGGTCAATTTGAAAGAAGACTTCGTACTATTGTTTTTTTTTTAATTTAATATAAATAAATTAAATATTTATATATAAAATATAGAAAAATTTAAAATAAAAAAATTTAAAAAAGTCATTTATATAGGTATTTATTTCTGATTGAAGCAGCTCGAAACTTCGGTCGAACTAGACTCGAAGCAGGCCGAAGCAGCAGCACCTTGCTTCTCTTCACTTGGGTTTATGCTTAAAATCCGAAAGGCTTTTCAGCCTCTTTGGCCGAAACGAAGAGAATTTAATAACATTGGCTAAGACCCTTTGAAATGGAATACCCATCGAACGCAACACCACACTTATGGGCAAAAAGGAATGGTGTTTTCGCCCAAAGGCTCGACATCGTCCGAATTTTTCGAACAGCAAGGATTAAAGACCGCCACGTACCTAGTATGTTCATGGCGGTCAAATAGTCACGGACATAGCAAGTCTGTGGCAATCAAACAGTCATAGATATAACAAGTCCGTGGCGGTCAAAAAACACGTGGAACTGCCACGGATCACACGCCGTTTGTTGCAGCTTTGTTCAATAAATCGCCATGGACATAACATGTCTATGGTGAGGCACAACACACACACATGCACACACACACACACACACACACACACACACACACACCACACACACACACACACACACACACACACACACACACATATATATATATATATATATGGAAAAGTCCTCCCAACGCCTATAAGCGAAAATGAACCGTGATTTCGCCTACCCTCATCACCATCTAAAGTTCATTGCATGGTCACGATTGTCCGGTAGTGTTTCACTTTTCATTTTGTTTCTATAAATCGTAATAACTTGAAATTTGAAGTGTATGTACATCTTAGTGAGACGAACCTAATAAAAATAAAAAACGCCCTAGAAAATGCTTCTCTATCCCAATTAATATAAGCTGCCCATTTTAGATGGTTAGATATAGGCCTCAAAAGAATTTTTTTTTTATTCCCAAAATTTTTGTATAGTTTTTTATTATTAGATTAATAATACTAAAAAAAAAAAAGTGATTTTTTATTTGTTAAGTCCTACATCTTGAAATTCACCAAATGGATGATCGAGATTTGTTGTTGGAGTGTATTAATTTTTATCATATCTAGAGTGAAAATTGAATTTTTTTCGTTCGGTAGGATTGATTATGAGATGAAGAGAATGTGTATGCAGAATTTAGAGTCATACAAATGCCAAAAACATAGTTTTCTAGAGGTGTGGTTGCGATATACTACTATACAACCGTTGCATAAGATCATTCCATATATATATATATATATATATATATATAATCGTTGCATGAGATCATCCCTATATATATACTTGTCATTGAGCGTAGACTATTCTATCAACTCATGAGCTGACAAGATCTTTCCTCATATGGGATTATATAGTATGATACCATTTATCTTTGGTATAAGGAGGTCACAATTGGTACTAGTTGGTACTAGCCTGAATTTTTGTCAAATTGGATGGCTTGCAGTGTGTCACAAAGTTCGAAAAAGTTTTTTTTTGAACTTTAGGTATAATCAATGACATATTTACGACCATGTAATTCGAAATTTGATGGAAAAGAAAGATTGTAACATCCATGTATCAAAAGTAAATAGTCTCTTTGTTGTGTGTATAAAGAGAATGAACAATGTTTTTGCCTATGGGTTGCTGCCGTCTAATTTTTTTGGACGATGTGGTCGATTTTTCATGCGAAACCGCAATGGCTCTACGAGAGTCGAAGCCGTTGCCGGATGAAAATACTGTACACTTTCGCCCCGTAGCATTTGTAAGAGTTTTCCTCTCTGTCTGTATACTTTCGCCCTGTAGCATTTGTAAGAGTTTTCCTCTCTGTCTGTATACTTTCGCCCCATAGCATTTGTAAGAGTTTTTGTCTATCTCCCTGTATACTTTCTCCCCCGTGGCATTTGTACAAAATACAATCGTGATCATTTAATCGGCTCAAATTGAATATGGACTGTTGGCTAATGGGCCTATGCCAGTATTATATATATATATATATATATGGAAAATTCATCCCAATGCCTATAGGCGAAAATGAACAGTGATTTCGCCTACACTCATCACCTTCTAAAGTTCATCGCATGGTCACGATTGTCCGGTAGTGTTTTATTTTTCATTGTTATTTGTAAATAAGAATGAACTGAAATTTGAAACGTGTGTACATCTTAGTGAGGTGCACCTAATTAAAATATAAAATAAATAATTCATGAAAAACAAATTGACCAAAATACCCTCGAAATATTTCGGGGGTATTTTGGTCAATGTTTTTCATGTAAAATAGTTTTTTGATAATTTTTGTTGATTCACCTATTTTTGATGAGCGCACACTCTAAATTTCAGGTCATTCTGATTTGTAGAAAAAAAATGAAAAATTTGTGAGTAGATTTAGAGTAATCCTTGGTTGACTCGTTGGCAAGCCGCAAAAATGATACTCAATTATATTTAAAAACTAAAAATTACAACTTGTGCTTCCAAGCTGACAACTTAGAGGTTATTGGGTACTCTGATACATACTTTACAAGAGACCCGGGTGATAGAAAATCAACCTCATGATATGTATTCCTCTTTGGACGTGGATGTATTTCTTGGTTTAGCAAGAAACAAGATTGTGTAGCTCGGTGTATTATGGAAGCCGAGTATATTGCTTGTAGCATTGCTACAACTTATGCTGTCTAAATTAAACACTTTACAAATGATTTGAAGCTGGATATAACCAATAGACCTGTTAAATTTTTTTGTGATAATCAGGCTACTATATCAATTAAAAATGGAGCTTATAGTTCCAAGGGTATGCACATTGAAATTGATTATCATTATATTTGTGATATTATTTGAAAGAATGAAATACTTGTAAGTTATTTGTCATCTTCATATATGATTGCAAACCTTTAACAAATGGATTGAGTTCAAAAATATTATCAAAGAGTGTAGTTTTGATGAAACTTAGAAATATCTAAGTCAGAAACTCCCAAATGTGATATTTTTTCTTTGATGTCTTGGTCATGAGAAGAAAATCCGCATTAACGTGAAAAACCCCATGACATAACTTTGGATATTTTTTGTTATGAGATGTATAACCGCACTAGTGTAAAAAGCCTCATGACAAAGATATGCTCATAAATGTTAAACCCACTAAGTGGTAAAGACATTATGATATTTCAATATATCTGGCCCTCATGGCTAAGTGGGAGCTGTTGGTACGTGTGGATGGCCATGGGGCCTTTAAATGTGCTATATTTATCTATTTTTATCTTCATCATATAGTTTAATTTTTATCAATAAAAAATGGCCTTCTTAGAGAGAGAAGATGCCATTATCCAAGGGGTAGAAAATAACTACCCACCTCCCAGGATTAGATGGCATGTTTCTT